ACATTCTCGGATCTACAATAGCAATTTCCTGATTTCCCCCTTGAGGACAAGGAGGTTCTGACGAAGGGGGAAGTTGTTAGGGCCCCAATAGTGAAGACCTATTCCAGAAGGGGAAAGGAATTGTGTTGGGGGTAAGTGAGTAATTATGTATGAAGGGAAAGAATAACGGTTTAGGAGTGGGGGCCATGGATAAGAGAGTGACGAGTAGAAAAGGAGGATTGGGAATAGGAGAGGATCATCTTGGTTGTTAGTGCCTAAAGGTAGCTAGGGAGAGATTACCCACCCTCTTGAATTGGTGGGGTGACTTGTACAGCTTACGGGCTTGTTTCTAAATATCAATACTAAGGTGAGGAGATACCTCACATATTTTAACTAGAGTAAAAAGAAAGACTGTTTTCATCTCCCAGAACTTGCTTGGATTTGTTGAATATCAATCTTATAATGAAGAAGACTTGAATCCAAATTCAAATGATCCATTTTAAACGATTGATGGTTGAAACTTGAAAGCTTGCAACAATCGGAAACTTGGTATGAAAAAGGAATCAAGTTTGGGATCTTGAATTTCAACGTAAGGAGGTAGGAGATCATATAAATCTGGTTAACTTGAATACAAACCTCAGAGAAATCGAGCAGATTTAAAGTATTGGAAGAACAGTTCACTAGTTCCCCAAAATGACTTCCCAAAGCTTCAAGACACTGCCGATTCAAATACCTAAGAGGTAAATCACAAATACGAAGCCATCCTCCATAGCCTTCCACTACTACTTTTTTGCTGTGTTTAGAAAAATTCCACCCCTCAATTTTCAAATGGAAATTTCCATTTTTTCTCCATTTTCCATTTTTTCCTAGATTATTCAAAGATATTCCATCTCATTAATGCTTTATTGGCCATGAAAGGGCTGATATTGCAATGTTGGGGAATTTTCTCTGAGGACAAAGGAAATAGTGTAACCATCATGGTTTGGCCTAGTTGTCAACAAGGGCCAATGTAAGTAGTAAAGGGCTTAGAGGGAATGGGTTCAAACCATGGTGGCCACCTGCCTAGGATTTAATATCCTATGAGTTACCTTGAAAACCAAATGAAGTAGGGTCGGACAGTTGTCCCGTGAGATTAGTCAAAGTGAGGGCAAGCGAGCCCAAACATTAACGGATAAAAAAAAGGAAAAAGGAAATATTGTTTCAATCATCATGAACATACAATCTTGTGATAACCATAATATTTTACCAATCTATCTCAAGCACTTCCTTTTCTTGCTTAACCCAGACTTCCTGTTTCTTATCTTCATTGAAGGGTCTAACTCTGTCAACCTTAATCATATTCCCATCATTATTCAACAAAGCATCTCTAATCATTTCCTAAAATACAAGCCAACCTCTTTTGTTAACACTAGCAGGAATCACTATACTTCTTCCACACCCTTTAGAGAAAGTTGCACGTTCAAAGCTCCAACAAAATTGATTTAAAATTTTCTTTATACTGCGAGTGCCTTCATCTCCCCAAGATTGTTTGAAGAAATGAACCCTTAAAGGGTATTGAATTAAATCCACAATAACCTCTTCAAACCACGACAACTGATTCCAGGAAAGAAAAATATCAAAGCTTCCATTCTTTCTCTTTTCCTCCAACATAAATCTGCCATTTGACCGTCTAATGAAAAAAGTACTTTTCCACAAAGCACTGCTTGAAACCATGATCGATGACAATTGAAACACTCTAATAAACTGAAAGAAACAAATTAGGAAACGACAGTTGAACTTGAACTTGGCTAGGAACCAAACGATGGAAGGCCTAAAGAGAGAGCGGGCAGATCAAAGTTATGGCATTCTTGTAAATAACTTATTAGGAAAATTAGATTTATTATATCTTACATTCTTTGATCCTCAAAGTTTAGAGGATAATTAGATTAGTTTAATTTCTTAACCTTTTCTTATTGTTTTTTAGAAAGGTGTTAATTCTAGTGGTAAAAATAACGTGAAAAAATATTTTCTCCCAAAAACTACACTTTCTTTTGTGTGAAAAAGAAATAAAAAAAATTCAAACAAAAGGTCAACATTGAAATCATTGTAAAAGTTTGAAACATGATTTAGGAAATTGAAAGTCTAAACTCTGTATAGATAATGATACAAGGAAGATGAAGAAAGAATAAAATTGAAGTTACAACTCAAACCTCGAACCTTTAAGAAATTCATCAATCAAGTATTTGGAGGTGGCCATGATCTATGACGAAAAAGCTTGGCTAGTGATCGTCGTTCACAGTCCTTGATAATGTTTAACAAAAAAGAATATAGGTTAGCGTATAGCTTCAGTGGACACAACAGCAAATTTGTCTGATTTTTTAAAAATGCTTACAGATGACAAATATTTATTAGAAAGGTGAATTACCTTAAACATGTTTAAGTTGAATGGTATGTCTTGGTTTATTCTCCTGAATTTCAAGTAAGTATATGCAAAGCTCAATTGATCACGTGAGGTAAACCGGTCAACTTCATTGAACCAAAGACATGAAAATAAATTTGACATTGGCGTATGTGCCCGGACAATGAAGGAACCTTCAGGAACATCTGCAGATAAATACAAAACAAATGCAGAAACTATAAACATAAATTACAAGACAGCACCAAACAAAGAACTCCACAGTAAACAGCATATACCACTTACAACTCGGAAGCGGAGTCCTGACATCAAAAGGGTCGAATTTAACGAGGCCATCAGACTGATAAAAAGCAAACTGTTCATCAATGGCAGTGTGATTGTACTTGTTCAGACGTTTGTTTTGGAGAACTTCCTCCCAGACACAGTGGCGATCATAGTGGTTTGAAATAGCATACTCTGACTTCTTTTGCCACAGAAAATGTTCAATAATTAGCATTGGATCTACCTGCAGACGCATTTTGCTGTCGAGCCATATTGAATACCTATGGAACAGGATTCAAGACTAAAGATAAATAAAAATGTTCACGTAGGTGACCATTATGCCCTACATCATATAACCAGAGAAGATGTGAGGATTACCTTGAAGAGGGGAAGAGCCGATGTGACAAAAATTTAGGAACTTTTCCAGTTCTGCGCATATCTTCATATGGTAAATTCCTCACAACAACTATTTTCCACAGTCCAATGTATCCCTTGTCATCAGGAATACTTCCCTCAGCTGATAGTTTTGATAGTGTTTGCTCATCCACAAACATGACAAAACAAACATTCTTCTTGGAATATTCACTGATCTGTGGCAAGGAAAAACGCAATCCCCGTTATAATGCCTGCTAACAGATCACTAAGAAGTTGGAAAAATGAAAAAATTGGGCTGCCATCCTGTTTATACTTCAAATAAAATGATACACCATCATGTCGAGAGAAAGGCAAGCAACCTGACATGAGAGAAAATAATGTATTTTCACAGGAAGAGAAAAATACTAGTCTAACAGAACTCCAAAGAAGCACGGACACAGACACGACAGCCATTGTTTTTATTTTTATTTTTTGGATAATATATGACAAAAAACAAATACTCAAATTTTAAGAAATAGAAATATTATCAAAACTATTTAATATTTAAATTAAATTAAAGTTGACTTAAAGAATTGGGAAAAAATAGAGATATTCAGGGGGGAAAAAAAGATCCATATAGGTTTTTGTCAAAAAGAAAAGGTCAAAAAAGGCAGTGTCATCAGTTATGGCTTTAAATAAACTTCCTGCTGTTAATACAACTTTCTGCCATCTGTTAGTCATGGAAAATACTATAGGACTTTGATTTATTATAAAGGAAATATTGCCATCTGTCAAACATGGAGAAGGAATGCTGCATGCAGCAGCCAGCTCATTTTTTCTTCTTCCTCTTCGAATTTTGTCGCTTCTACTTTTATTTATTATTTTTTTTTCCCTTTCTTCTTCAACGTCTCTACCGCTGGAAATTTCTTCTCTTCTGCTTCTTTCTCTCTTTCTTCTCCAACTTCTTTTGTGCCGTAATTTTCTTCTTCTCTTCTGTCACTCCTCAATCTCTTTTTCTTTTTCTTCTTCATCTTTCGACTCTTCCTTCTATTCCTCTGCCTTAACCTTTTTTTTAATAAGGCTGACAGAGAACAACCATTAGCGATGGCGACGCCAGCGTGTCTATGACGTGTCCACCAC